TTGGCCTTAAGGCCATAAGCAGTCTTTGGGTTTTTTTTTAATGGATGTGTGGGCTTCGTGCGTGTGAGACTGTCGCTGTCCTGCCCAGGGAAGAGGACCCCCTGGAGAGGTATCCTGCTGTTTGGACCACCGGGGACGGGGAAGTCCTACCTCGCCAAAGCCGTGGCTACAGAGGCCAACAACTCCACCTTCTTCTCCATCTCCTCCTCAGATCTGGTGTCCAAATGGCTCGGGGAGAGCGAAAAGTGCGGCTCATTTTGAAGGACTATTTGCATTGATGGATCTGTAATACCGTAATCGCCTGGATTGAAAGTCATGTGTTTCTGAGCCGATTGCCCCCTCCCCCCCCCTTTCCTGTCCCCACCCACACAGGCTGGTGAAAAGCCTCTTCACCCTGGCACGAGAGCACAAGCCCTCCATCATCTTCATCGACGAGATCGACTCCCTGTGCGGCTCGCGGAGCGAAAATGAGAGCGAAGCGGCCCGTCGGATTAAGACGGAGTTCCTGGTGCAGATGCAAGGTGGGGGGTGGGGTGGAGGGGGTTCCCAATGCAGTGTCACCTCTTCACTAATCGTAGTGCTTACCTGTCTGCCTGTTTATCCAATACTGTTATCTGCCTTTTCACCACTGTTGTTTTCAGTAGATCTAGATCATTCAAATTGAAGTGTCCTATCATCACTTAACTGGTTGCACTCTGTGTTGCTTAGAGAAGCTCAGCCAGATGAATAATACCATGTGGTCTTGGTTTGTGCGTGACTTATATCGAACGTCGGCTGTACATCTCATGGGTTAATCTGCCGCCAGGTGTTGGAAACGACAACGAAGGGATCCTAGTCCTGGGAGCCACTAACATCCCCTGGACCCTGGACTCCGCCATCAGAAGAAGGTCAGTTTCTCAAGTCTTGCTTGCATGGTTCATCTCCTCAGACATCCTCTCTGACTGGGTGTCCTGTTGAGCTTTGCTGTGACCCACAACATTGCATGTTTAAAGATCCGTCCGTCAATTTTTTTTTATACCCAATTGTCCTATTCAGGGTCACGGGGTTCAGAGATTTACTAAACTGTTTATTATCTCTGTTCATATTTAACTAGCATTTCAAGGGATAGAAAATAGTGCGTAATTTGAAATAAATTTGTATGGTCATTTGTTTAAAAGTAGCATAATAGCAAAAGTATTTGATAAATGGAATTTTAAGGTTATAAATGAAAGCTGCCTGTCATGGATCAGTCTGATTGTGTTACTGGTTAATCTCTTGGTTGGAACGTGGACATGAGTCATTTTGGGTGAATGTTGCATAGCAGATACTAAATAAACACAAGAATTTGAGAGGGGTGGGGGGAACCTGCCGATCGGGTGGCAGTCTGGCAATGCTGTCTCCCCCGTGTGTCGCAGGTTCGAGAAGCGCATCTACATCCCGCTGCCAGAGGAGCACGCCCGCTCCTTCATGTTCAAGCTGCACCTGGGCACCACGCCCAACAGCCTCACCGACTCGGATTTCATGACCCTGGGCAAGAAGACGGAGGGGTACTCAGGTGCTGACATCAGCATCATTGTGCGCGATGCGCTCATGCAGCCCGTCAGAAAAGTGCAGTCCGCCACTCACTTCAAGAAGGTGCGTTAGAGCCGGCTCCTCGCCTTGGGTGGCCCGTCGACCTTTGACCTCGATCTCCCAAACTCATTAGGCTTGCTCGATGCTCCCGTATTTGGGCTCACCGTGAAACTCCTCCTCTGTCTTCAGGTACGAGGGCCATCGAGGGATGACCCCGACGTCCTCATAGATGACCTGCTGACCCCCTGTTCTCCGGGAGATCCGAATGCCCTCGAAATGACCTGGATGGATGTTCCTAGTGAGAAGCTCTTGGAACCGGTCGTCAGCATGGTGAGGAAGAAAGTCTTTCACTCATTGTTATTTGTAAAGTGATTCCTTAACCGATCTCGAACGATCTATACCGTTTCATGCAGTCAAGCCTACTTATAACCTGGGGGGGGGGGCAGTGTGTGGCTCAGAGGGTTAAGATGTTGTGCTTGTGATCAGAAGGCCTCAAGTTCAAATACCAGGGCTGGCAGAGTAATTTCACCGCTGGGCTGCTGAGCAAAGCCCTTAATGTCCAGTTATTCCATGGGCTGTCTTATGTCTTACCCTGCCTTCTTAATTATACATCGCTTTGGTAAAAGTACCTGCTATAAAAAATATAAATAATGTAAACTTCAACAGAAAAGAGCCTTCTGACCAATTTATACCGGTAAACCGATTTTTAACAACAATGCATCTGACCCATAATGCAGATACCTGCATGGTGACTCGGCCACGCCGGTGCCGGTCTCCGACGTTACTACATTTTGCCTGCCCCCCCCCTCTTTTTTCAGCCGGACATGCTGCGGTCCCTTGCGAACACCAAGCCCACGGTGAATGAGCAAGACTTGGACAAGCTGAAGAAGTTCACAGAGGACTTCGGGCAGGAGGGCTGAGATGTTCACTAAGGGACGCAGAGCAGACCGATGCTGACTGTAAACTCTCTCCTTCTCTTCCTCTTGCCCCCCCCCCCCCCCTTACTTCACTCCACCCTCACCTTCCTGTGAATTTGGTTCTAAATTTCTGCTTTCCAAGACCGTTTGAGTCTGGCTTTCTACCCGCTTCATTGTGCTGGTCAGGGTCACAGAAGGGTGTCACACTGTATGTTTGTGTTGTGTAATCCCAGGAAAAATCTAAACAAATTTGTGTGTATATATGTAATTTATATATACATAATTTTTCTGGAACCTGTGCTATTTTAAAGGATGCCTTAAATATAAAGTTTCCTTTGAAAATGAGTCAGACTGTCACGCGTCATTGTCCTTTCACTGCTGTTTTCGTTTAGTCCATAATTTATCCAAGGACAATTTGGCTTTACAGTTGTGGAAGTGATGAGCGATTGAAGCGGTGGGGGGGGGGGTGGATGATTTGTTCATCATCCCAGACTATACTGATGAGGCTTATACGGTGGAGGGGGGGTTGGTTTTGTGTGTAACTCTGAGGGACCAGAATGTAGCACCCTAAAAACACTGGGTGACTGAGCAGGTGGAGAGGTACTGGGGTGGGGGGGGGGGGGGACATTTAATTTGTTTCGGAAAACAATCTTAAGAATTCACTTGCAGACTGCTGAAAGGTCATGACACCTTACACTGTGCATTTATAAGGAGAACCTGTCAAACAGAATAGATAGGGCTTACCTGTGAGATGGGGAGAAAGTACCAGGGACAGTTCTGGGGGTGGGAATTGCAAGGGGTGTGACTGCAGTATGACAGTATCTGCCTCTGCGACGTGCGGGGGCTCTGTGGCGAACGCTACGCTGCCCGCTGTTTTAAACTGGCAGCGCATGACATGTGCCTTCAATACAAACCATATTCACTAGTTGTGAAAAAAAACCTCTTCATTTTTATAGTCTTGTTACCAGTCTATTAAGCATTTTGTTTGTCTGCACATTGAATTTCAGACCTTTAATCTCTGGATTGTATGCAACTGTACTTTTTGGTTCAGGTTTTCTATGATATGAAAATAAACTATTCTCTATGAACTCTGCATACACAAGTTATGTAATTTAGGCGTCATTTGTTAGAAAAATACCCTTATCCTGATGGTTAAAAATCAATTTACGTTTCATTTTATTTCATACAAGTGTAAATAAAGGTATTCAATCTTGGAGTGGAGTGGTGTGTTCTGTTAGAATGAGTGTGGTTTCACTTGCCAGTTGTTTCTCATTGACACTTAAATGAGGAAGTAGAAAACCAGAGACCCCCCACACACACACACACACACACACACATCCAGGTCAAACACTTCAATCCTCTTTGTCCCATCCAGTCAGTAAGCAGGACCTAAATCTTTCGTAATCATTCACCAAAATCTAATCAGCAACTAGTAATTTGTTCATTTTGATAATTATGTCTCATTTTGGATGATGTTAATTCACTTCTATGTCTTTACTATGGCTGTTTGATGTTTGTCATAAACTGCTGATTAAGTAGGTCAGTTTGCCTGGCACCAAACCCATAATTCCATTATCCCAAAATAACCCAGAGTACAACGCATGTTATGTCTCTTTAATTACTGGCCGTACGTCTTGCTACACTGTTCATTTGCCCAAGTTCCGTTTTCAGCAACTTCAGAAACACGTTCTTTGAACTTTTTATTTGCGTTATTTTTTATTTCCGGTTATTAGTGGACGTGGAATTTGGATTGAAGAGTCCAGCGTGCTCCTCGGTCAGACACCCAAACGGAACATCTGGCTATGGTTTCCACGCAAGATCACTTCACACCTCTGTGACACTTCGGCCGTGTGCTGAGCGAGGCCTGGGTCACGTGGTCGGCGCCCAGGGGAGCTTCTCTATTCTCGGCCCACAGAGTAGACCCAGCGCAAGCTGGAACATCTGGGTGTCCCCTAGAGAAAACGGCGATGTTTATCACTATTCAAACCACGCATTTGCATGGGGGGCTGAACTCGAGGTCAGTCACACTAAATATAAAATAAACGCATTATTTATTTAGCATGTTCCGCTAACCAACTTGCTAGTTATGACCTTCCGACTTTACTCGCCTTCTTTTTAATTTAGTTTTTGAAATATCTCAGAAGGGCGAGGAAGCCTCGAAGTAACTTTTTTGACTGAGTTTCCCAAAACAACATTCCCACCCCTGTCCAGAACAAGCAAAAGCGTGTGGCCTTGGAAAGGTAAGTCTGATCCGACCTGCTCAGAAAGCTGCCACTGATACTTCAGCAGGAAAAGCGGTGAAATGAGATGAAATGAGCAAAAGTTCAATGAAAACAATCAGAAGGGTTCAATAGATTGAGTTAAGAAACTATGCTATTGTCAAAAATCGCAAGTGGCACTAACTATGCAGTGGGTGGTTGTATGAGTTTAATATATAATATAATGCAAAACCTATAGTATTAATCCAGTGTACAAAAATTAAAATCATCGAAGAGTCGAAACTGAACTTTACATAAATTTGTGCCTGGCCCTTTAAATACGGAAGCCTTCGAAGCACAATAGTTGCAGTGGGATTCGTAATAACGCAACCGGGCATCCTTAGAAAATATTTGTCCCCATTTCGCTTCCCCAACCGTGAAAACTACAAGAGAGGAAAAAAAATCTTGGATACCCCAATACGCACGGATCGGATCCACGCAGAAAGGGGGAAGCGCACAGTACGAGTGTCCCTGTCCTGGATGGGTACTGGGCAGCGCTTGGGATCGGAGGGCCTGCGGTGTCCCAGGTAAAGATCCACTCGAGCACCGGTGACCGCGGGCGAACAGAGCTGAAGCTCCCTGTCCCGCCCCCGCTCCGCTCGCTCCTCCCCGGCCACAGGCCGGACCGACGCCACTTGAGAAGCACAACGATGTCCCCCGAAGAAGGCCTGGACGCGGCGGAGCGGCTCGTGTCGGGCTCCCGATGGCTACCCACCCCTCTCGGCATGCTGCTGGCGGCGGCCGCATTCGGCGTCACCCTGGCGCTGGTGCTCTACATGATCTCGCCGCTGATCAGCCCCAAGCCGCTCAAGCTGAACGGGGCCCACGTCGTGGTGAGTGGCGCAGGGGCGAGGGAGTGAGCGGGCGCGGGTAGCGCTTAGCACCATTACTGTTATTTTCATACCGCAGTACCGGTGTATCGGGCGGCCAAGCGAGACGGGGACGACCGAGCCTCGTGGTGGGGATCGCGGTGATCCGGAGGGGTGGAGCGGGAAGATCACCTGTACGGACTGGGGGTGCCGGCCAACCGGGAAAAATTACAATAATAATAATTAAATTGTTGTTGTAATAATAATAATAATAACAACAATAAAACTACAATAATAATAATAATAATAATAATAATAATAATAATAACACAAATAACAAATACGACATGTCTTTAAGTGGCTGCCCGATGGCTGTCTAACGTGCATGTCTTTTACGAGCGTTTATTACATTTTGTTTTTAAAGCCTAATAAATGTTTCTGTTTATTTGTTCGTGCAGGAGATGACGGCATTAATTTGGGCGCTTGGGCAGACCATACCTGTGTGTGTGTGTGTGTGTGTGTGTGTGTGTGAGAGAGAGAGAGAGAGAGAGAGAGCGAGAGCGAGCGCTCTTTACACCCACGCAGACTAAAGGCGCAGGTGTGACTTTAATCCATCCACCCGGAATATTGTGTTACTCAAGACTCCATACGATATACCCGCGTTAGGTCTTTGGTTTAAGGCATAAATAAGTGAAGGTGGGAAATAAAAAAATATATATAGTTGTTCGTTGGATCAATCTTATTTTAAATACTAGCGAAAAAAAGGTAACTGTGCCTGTTTTAATGACAGAGACAGATCTGCTCTGTACTTTGAATTATTTTCATACATGTGCTTAATTTCCAGTGCTGAGCTGCACCATGTGTGAATGTGTCCTGCATTCTAATCAAACTGCTGAATGCTGAACAGCAGCGTTTGATGTGGCTGTTATTAAACACAGACATTGCCCCTATTGATTTGTCTTTTCCTTTGGGCGAAAAATATGAACACCCATGTGACCCCAATCCAATATCCAGTGTACAGCTAAATCCAGGGCACTCTCATGGTCATAGGGTGTTTTGTGTAGAATAAAAAATATATTTTACAATAAACCTTCACCCAAATAAACATCCCCACTTATCTTGTACTGGTTCAGGCCTGTCTCAGGTAAGGCAAGTGAACCCCTTGGATGAGGTCTCAGGGTGGGCACACTCGCATAATCACAGTCTGCCACAATACCACTATCCAAAGAACATAGAGAGAACATGCACACGGAGGGGACAGGATAATAACCCCCATCCCTGGAGGTGTGAGTTAACTCTGCTGTCTAGCCAAGTCATTAAAAATATATGCAAGTAGTTTGTCTAAACTGATTGTTGTTGATTTTCTTTGTCTGTTAGCGTTTTAGGTTTAAATTGCAGGTAAATGTGAACACCTTTGGAAATGATGTCCTCTCTGTGAGATCGCTCTTAAACAGTATAGCTCCGCATCCGTGTTCTCCTGCAGGTCACCGGCGGCTCGAGCGGGATTGGCAAATGCATCGCTATGGAGTGCTACAGGCAGGGGGCGTTCATAACGCTGCTGGCACGGGATGAGGTGAGCTTAACGCCCACTGAAGGGCAGGGTACGTCCTCCAAGGGTCTCTTTAAGGCGTCGCCGAATTCTTACCTCATTAAGACCACAAGTGCAGCTATGGAGTGTATTTTGTTTTTTTTATTGTGGAACTTTCCAACCTGCAGGTGGTGTAGTAGTTAAGGATCTAGGTTTATCACCTGAATGTTGTGGATTTAAATCCCTTGAAGGGTCCCATTTGAATTCAGTTCTTAGCCTGACTTTCTCCAGGGCTGCATTTGATTTTAGAAAAGGCTAGCATTCACTTTTTACGAAATTATCAGCAGCCCAACCCGAACATTGATGTAAATTATGCTTTATTTAAAAATGCAATTTGTACGTTGATTACAAACTCGGATATCTTCAGAGCCAAGAATATAGAAATGCTGTGTGAAGCTCAGGCTGACGGGGAGGGGGGCGGGTGAATATGGGATGGTGTTGAATGTTTTTTTGAGGCTGGGACAAGCTGTTTTTCTGCTGTTCAGTAGTGACATTTGTAATGGGAACAGTAAAGCCAGTGGAGGGATATAAAAAATCTGCAGAATTACAGATTTCTTTACTTATAACTAAAATGTCAGAGGTTACTTTTCCTTTAACTCCTAATTGTAATCTTCAGTTACTAATTATGACTGCAACCACCAGTATTTTGATGGCTGCCGTTAACCATAGAAAGGTAGTTTTAAATTGTTGGGCGTTCTTGTTTATAGTGATGAATCTCATTTTTATTATAGAGATAATGTCACAGCCTTCCCTGTGCATGCACCATCCCTCATGCCCAGCTGAATATAAAATATTGATGTTGTCCTGGTTTTTAACTTGGTTCGCGCCACATGGTGAATACTATGAGAACCTCCATCACCCTTTAACCACGTGAAACAGCTTTCAGAAAGCTGACCACCTCAGTCATGCCATATTTGTTAAATTTACTGGGTCATTCCTATGTTTTCTGCGGTGATTCATAATTCGTAGTTTTGGTATCTTAGGGTACATTTTAAGGACATTCTTGCGATGCTACTGGAACGTTGACCTGTTTATCCTTTTTTTTTTTATGTTCGTTATAGAGCAAACTGGTTCAGGCCAAGAAGGAGGTGGAGAGATGTGCTGTTAATGATAAGCAGGTATGTGGAGATGGTTTCTCACACCTGAGGGATTGTGTTTCAAATTATAGCCACTGACAGTTAAATAGAACATATTTTTTTCCCCCCAAGTTTGTTAAATTTGTTTTTTTTCTTAAACCCTTTCAGAGGAATCAAACTTGAGGAACGCGTTACTCTCAGACATGACCTCTGTCTCCTTACTTTCCTCACAGGTTGTGCTCTGCATATCAGTTGATGTGTCAAAGGATTATGGGCAGGTGGAAAACGTCATGAAACAGGTAAACTTATCTAGGGATCAGGTTTTCACTTTATGGGTGATGTGATTGGCTGAATTCTGTCACGTTAGCCGTGCGCTACTCTGAGACGTCAGCGAGCCGTGATGTTGACGGATTCTTGCCGGCTCGGTTTTCGGGCTCCGTTCCAGGCCCAGGAAAAGCTGGGTCCCGTGGACATGCTGGTGAACTGCGCGGGGACCTCCGTGTCGGGGAAGTTTGAGGAGCTAGAGATGGATCGCTTCCGGGTGAGTGCCACATGGACAGGAAAGGCTGTTATCTGTGGCAATGAAATGAAGCTTTATTTGTGGAGAGAGGCTCGGCTTGGTCGAGTGTCTGCAGATGGGGGTGGATATCGCAGGCCAGGGCCCCCCATCGCTGTTTGAAGTTAAGAGCATCCAGCTATTTTCTATCTCTAACAAGTTTCGAGCTATGATACCCGACAGAGGCAGAAAGTTCCGGTCCAGAAAGTACAAATCCAGACCAAGGTTTTGTTTCAACCAACCAGTTAAGCATAAACGGTCACAATCACAGAGTATTCAACTGGTTGGTTGAAAAGGAAGAGAAGGAAAGAAAAAAAACGTGGACTGGATTTCTACTTTTTGGACCTGAACTTTCCACTTCTGGTACCGGATGATGCTTCCAGTTTGAGACTGAGCTTCTGCAACTGGGGAGGGGGCAGTGTTTGGCAGTCATCAAAAGACAGATTTGATTTCCTACCCACCCCCCCCCAGAGGGTTGAAGTGATTAGCTCTAAGAAATTACAGTGGCATGAAATCGGTACTAAAATAGACAAGGGGGCATGAGGCCTCTGTGGCAAGTCTTGCTGAAGTCTCGGAGGGTCTACTCAAACCCTGAATGTGTGTGTGTCTGTGTGTGGACTGGCAGAGTCTGATGGAGGTGAACTACCTGGGGAGTATCTACCCAACCCGAGCGGTCATCACCACCATGAAGGAGCGGAGGATGGGTCGTGTCGTGTTCATGTCGTCGCAGGCTGGTCAGATCGGCTTGTTCGGCTACACGGCCTACTCCCCGTCCAAGTTTGCCCTCCGCGGCCTGGCTGAATCCCTGCAGATGGAGGTGGGAACCATTGGCCACGCCCCCGTCAGGTTCCGGGCCGCTCTGGTGCTTGACTGTGTCCCTGTGTGCTTACCTTCTTCTCACAGATGAAGCCATACAACATCTACGTAACGGTCGCCTATCCACCAGACACTGACACCCCTGGCTTTGCGGAGGAGAACAAGTGCAAGGTAGCCCAAGACCGGCTTCTGGTGGAGTCTGGTCTTCACCTTCCTACACCATCTTACTATCCGTGGTAGCAGCACGATCCACATCTTGAACGAGGCAGTTGAACACTCGCTCCCACTGTGTTGCAGCCACTGGAGACGAGATTGATCTCGGAGACGTCAGGCGTGTATCAGCCAGAGCAAGTCGCCAAAATCGTCGTCAAAGACGCAATGGTAAGAAGTGACGTGCCATAATGTCCGGCGGATGCCAGGATGCTCAGAGCATGTGACTCTTTGCTTTGTCCCCCAACAGCAGGGGAACTTCAACAGTTCGGTGGGGACTGATGGATACTTGCTGTCCGCACTCACCTGCGGGATGTCGCCCGTCACCTCCATCATGGAGGGGCTCCAGCAGGTAAAGATATAACTGGATTACAGCCCAGCTCACTAGGTGGCTGAACAGGACCACGCACCCCTTGCTAATGATCTCCAGACTTGAACCCATGTCTTGCTGGAGTATCTTGGCACATGCTAACAACACCACACATAGATAGAGTCACATCAATATATTTTTACAACATCGGCTGATGCAGGTGCAGCGATTTCAGCTGTGTTCGGCAGAGGTGGACATTTCAGTTCCAGAAAGTAAAAATCCAGACCAGGATTTTGTTTCAACCAGTCACTTGAGTAGTACGTGACTTTTTATGCTCAACTGGTTGTCTGAAACAAAATCCTGGTCTGGATTTTTTACTTTCTGGACCTGAAATGTCCACCTCCTGGTGTTTGGTCAGCCGCTTATCACAATTCCATTCCTTCCAGATCGTAACCATGGGCCTTTTCCGCACCATTGCCCTTTTCTACCTTGGGAGTTTTGACAGCATCGTCCGACGCTGTATGATTCAGAGGGAGCAGTCCAGAGCTGTGGACAAGAGTGAGGCGCCCCCCCCTCCTCAACCCGATCCCTGCTTCCAAGCCCCACCCTACTTAGGTTGCTCCACCCATGTCTTGTCAAGCAGGTTCACCACCTCCCACCTTGTCGTGACACCAGAGGGTGCCATGTTGACATCAGGTGACCACAGGAGGGCCATCAAAAGCAGGGTTAGAGACAGGTCCCCCTAAGAAGGTGATTCCACCTACCCCCATCTTCCCAGATATCTGGTACCAAGTGGTTGAGGGTCTGGCTCCCTGTCCTTCCTTGTGTCAGCTGAGGCTTAACCTCTCGTTTTGGAAACGTTTGTAAACTACTTAGATATGACTTTCTTCTCCTTTTACTTTTTGGTTCATACTTTATTTCCATTGCATATAAACTACACATGGAGTGCTAACAGACCAACGCTGTTTCCTTTCTTTATGGACTGGCACGGTGGTTCTCAGCCATTCCTGCATGGATCCCAAGGCTTACTGCCATCTGCTCATCCTCATCAGCGATCTACTCATCATGTCTTTAATGGGCTGAATCGGGGGGCTGGCAATGGAACAGAACCCATCTGCAACAGCTGGAGCTCCATGGTGGAATGGTTGAGAACTACTGTGTTAGAGCCCCATGGATGACAATAGCTTGTTGTGTTTATTTGTTGTGTGTGTGAGAGAGTATTTCACATTGTATTCTAAACTAAGCGAAGGTTTTATGGCTAAGGAACTTTCGGGGACCAAGTATGTTAAATATCGAAAAGGCCCACGGCTTAAATGAAAACGGCACGTGCCGATTTCCCCATCTAAGCTGAGTACGACTACCCGCAAATTCCAGATGTGAAACCTACACTAGTGGCCAAAATTGTAAAAACACTTGCAATTTTTAGAGATTGCTGTACTTGATTCCAATTACTCCAGCTACTTATTTACTTGTCCAGTATATGATATTTGTGTAAACATTCTTTGGTTGTTTATAAACATTACCACTGATAATCGTGTAGTTAATTTTAAAGCGTAATGCCAAAAATGTTAGGTGTTTGTGCAATTTTGGCCGCTAGTGTATATGGTAATTAGTAGCTTATGACAGTCTCCATCTTTTGGTAGCTTATGAATGGGAAGCCGTCTAACACACTCCATGGTTTCCTCTTAAAGTCGTGAGTAAAGTGCTCATTGCGAGAATAGCCGGTGAGCGATTTTGTGTAGTGAATTTGCTTCCCGTACTGCCGCTCTTTCATTGGGCGCTTGCGTACGTTTTTGCGCTCACTCTTCCAGTATCAGGATGATTGTAGACTTCACTGATACACCCCCTGAGAGAATAAGTGGAGGAGTGTCAGAATGCTATTAAGGCTGCATTCACATTTTTGATTGCTACCTTTATCCAGGGGATTACTCTGCAGATTAATGGTGTGGTGTTTTTGTGAACAACTTGTTTGCGGGGAATAAATCCCTTACAGCAGTGTTTCTCAACCCAGTCCTCAGGGAACCCCAGCCAGTCCACGTTTTTGCTTCCTCTCAGCTCCCAGCGCACCTGTACCAGCTATTCGGTGTTCCTGATTGGCTGGAAGCTGGGAGGGAGCAAAAACGTGGACTGGCTGGGGTTCCCTGAGGACTGGGTTGAGAAACACTGCCTTACAGGAACTATACACTTACATTCACATCCCTGCAAAGATTTGTTCTTTTCGTTCTTCCACTTATCCAGAAAAATGTAAATGCTGCTTCCTTCCTTGACTATGGCCACAGTATGCAGTGTACAACATCGAAATGTATCCTCTGCATTTAACCCATATGTGACGTTGTGACATAGCAGGGGGCAGCTAATTCAGTGCCAGTGAGGCATGTCAGAGCGTGCAGTGAGCGAGCATATGATTGGCTGGAAACTAAAGCTGGGACTGAATGTATATGCCTACAGTGAACAAACGATCGAGTTGGTGAGAGGGATGAACTAGATACCCAATGGCGTGAGCGAGTCTGTGAACGCGAGACTCCGATAGGCTACTGAACGGGAGAGCTGTTCCTCAGTTGTGACTAATGCTGCGTTCTATTTTAACTCGGAAATTCTGAGTTCTGAGTTGAAAAATATCAACTGGAACGCCCCCTGAAATCGGAATTCCTACTTGGAAAATCAGAGGCCGACCTCAGAATTCAAAATGGCTACGTCCTTTATCAATAGTAATTAATACTGTAGTTAATGTTTATTAGCACTTGTCTCATTTGTGGCTCATTAAATCGGTTGTACACCTAGTACTGGCCAACTGCTATCTGTGGACGTGTTGCTATGGTGTTTTTATGCATAAAATGCTGTGTAATGTGTTGTTATCTACTGATATTGCTAACAATTAACCGGGCTAGAAATGAACCCTGTTTCAAAAAGCAAGATCTCTTGCTTAGCTGGGTAAGTTGTCAGATTTAAGGTAGACTGGGTTGAATGTAAGTGAAGGAAGATAAAAAAATAAAAGGCAAATTACATCCGACAAGTTATCCTGCTAAGCAAGAGATCTTGCTTTTTGAAACAGGATCCAGGTATTGCTAAATGGCTTTCCGACTTGCTGTACTGGAGCGTAAACTTGAGTAGATGGTCATTCCCTGCTCCGACTTCCGAGGTAAATGGAACGCAGCATTAAATACACCATATACTGTCTATAGCCTAAATGTGCAGTGGCTTCCAATATACTGCAATTGTATTTTAGAGATACATTTTTCACGAGTTAAAGTGATTCTAACCAAGGTTTCTTAGCAGACTGGCTCTCCTGCCAGAGGCCGTTCGACTAGAAGGCCGTTCACACAAAAAGCATTTGAACTCGTTAGCTGACTATGTGATGAGCCGTCATGTTTGCATTTTTAACAAACTTCAGTAGCTATGGTACAATGTTGACAGACTAATTCAATAACATTTTTTTCCTCACGTGATGGTATTTAGCCTAAGTAACAGGTTATTTTTACATATCGGAACGCAAGTGTTTCAGATTTATTTTATACAAAGGGGAAGTGCCACTGAACGAGCTGGTGAACGAATCAGAACTAACGTTCTAGGTAAACTTAATCAAACTTAGCTGCGTCCCAAAAAAAGTGTCATTTCGCCCCATCACTAGTGCAGATGGCGGGTGATCAGGCAGTTCAGGGGGAGCGTTTTGAAATAAATAGGTGAGGGAGTCTTACGTAAGTGCACATGCCCCAGCCGGCAGATCCGGAGCACGCTGGCTGGCTGCTCGGTGCCATGGCTCTCCTGCCAGAGGCCTCGCGCTGTCGACTCTCCTCGGGACCGGGAAATAGTTCAGACTGGGAGGCCGTTCACACAAAAAGCGGCTGTTGTAATTAGGACAAGGGCGTCCTTTGTGACCGCGCAGGCGGCGGATTTGCATTTCAGTCACTCTGAGGAGAATTTGACAGCCCCAAGTTCCTCGCCTTCAAGAGCACAATATTAGTATATTGTAATTTGTTTGTAGATACCAGTGTGTGTTTGTGCGCGTGCACTAATGGGGGGGAGTAGCGTGTCGGCCAGCCTGTGGCGTTAATGACAGCTTTTCCTTCACATTTCCGTGTCTGTGTGCAGGCATTTTGCGGTGAACACAATTCTGTAATTTAGCCTTTATACTATTTCACAATTCTGATTTCTCAAAAGCGAAAAGGGGTAAAATTGCCTAATTAGGAAATACTCAATGTGTAGGGACGAGCCGTGGGATTGATTATTGTTTGACTCGCGGGACCGAGTAGTAATCTCACTGGCCTGAAGGTGGCGCCGGAAAGCCGCGTTCAAAGTGCTATAAGTATCTCTGCTCAGCGCCGCTTAACGATTTTCTCGTTTGATGTCTTCCTTTTCTTATCTATCGGCCCTGAGAGGACTGACGCCCGTCTGCAATTATTTTCTGTTATTACAAGCGCAATTAAATGCTTAGTCCCAATGCCAAAAGGAACCAAAAAAGCAAGGCAATGCAATGCAACTATTTGACTGCTGCTTTGTTTACTTCAGAAATACCTTATAAATAAGCCAAGAGCTGAATTGTGGAGCCCGTTCAACGCCTTAATACCGTTAAGTAATGCACCTGTTTATATCTATGGCTTACATAATTTACCTGTTTTTCCAGAGAGAAGAATTCGTGTTTGTTCCGTTTCAGATCTGTACAAATGTCCTTGCATGAAGAATGATGGTGAGAGCAGATGATTTAGTTGATGTTCTCACTTGACGTCGGTTTCTGAGGCTATGCAGCACAAAGTTAATTTGCGGATTAAGTATTTTTTTTTTTTTTACAATGTGTGCATTTTAATTAACTCACCTAGAATATACGGTAGCTGACACGTAGTTCATAGCTTTTTGATATGTAGCTTATCACAAAAGGATTTTTTGGTTTAACAGTTTAAAGCTATGCAAGTTAAGCCGTTGTGTTCAAGACATGTTGAAACACCCTATCGGAATACCGATGTTTCTCTCATGTGCCCTAGCCCCGGTTTTGGTGCGTTTAAGATAAGTATATGCTATGTAAGAGATTAACTTAGTTTGTTTTGCTCTGAAAATAACCTGGACACGTTCGATTATTTCCTCCTTGTTTATGCCTGTCTTCACCCTGTGTGCCATTTTAAATAGAAAAGGGATGATCGGAACACCGTTGCTATGTCATATTTTGTTACATGAAATAATAAATAACTTTTGAAAAAGTCCACGCCTTCTTTGTCGTACACTGACTGGTGTCATCAGAGTCCGTTCTGGTTCTCTGTTATGATCCTCCATAGGTGAATGGCTCTGCTTCAAAATTCAGTGCATCTTCTTCCTGGCCTTCGAGCGCCAGGAAGTTCGATACGGGTCTGTTTTTCTCGGAATAATATTTGAGACACTAGGCGTCAGTATTATACCCCAGTTGAAGCGTAGACTGAGCCCACCCGAAGTGTTGGTATGTAGTTATGGTCTAGATAAAAAAAAAAAAACCATTGTAGACCTCTCCATAACGAGATGTCAGCTTTGCACAGTAACGAAAAGACAAGCGCCTTGCTTCAGGATATGAGAGTCCGCCTCTGTAGGGCTTTAAACCTACGACCCTGTTACGTAAGCGCTTTTCGAGATTATATTTTAATAAATCCGCAGATAAAAAGTCGCGTAGGTGTTGACCTTTAATGCCCATAATGCATTTGCATCCCACTTCCCCTATGTTGCATTTGATCTCGAAGCACTTTCTTTAAGATGGGGAACATCTTCCCCGCTGAACAAAAAGTCCCGAGCAAGCTGCTTGGAGGGGTATTTTTTATTTATTTATTTTTATCTCGGAAAAGGGTTTATCCGAAATAGACTACTGATAGGTGAAAATGCACCTTACATCACGTGTAAATAATTTCCCATCGGCCAATTACCTGTGGTAGGTCTAATATAATGTAAAAAAACGCAATTAAAATAAATTAGATTAAATATTAATAAGGCTCTCGACCCAAAAGCGCTGCTATGGGTGGTTACCCATCGCGGCCAGCTTGCTATTACCTACGGCGAGCAATCTGGGGGAGACGTAAAGAGATTTCCCCACGGGGATCAATACAAAGTATCAAAGAAGGGGGTTCCCATTAGTACAAGTAAGGGGGGGAGAGAGAGAAGAGTATGGAATAATAAAACAAGCACGTCCAGGTATAGGACCGACATTTTCCTTCACGCAGGGTTTTTTTTTTATCATTTATGTGTCCCGTCCCAGGAGACCAAAAGTATGAATGGCGTGACGTTGAGGAAACGCCTCCCGGAGGTGTAATTTCGCGTTACAGGAGTGTTGCCGTATCTGGATTGCTTGGACCTTACAGCCCCCTGCAAAAAAAAAAAAAAAAAAAAAAGACGCAGCTTTCCATGCAGAGCTTACTGGCAAATGTCGCTGTCTATTATGGCACTCATCGTTCAAATGGAAGCGCTCGTTTCCCAGCACGCGTTTCGAGAACTGGTCCGCACTTTCGTTCTCGCTTTCCATCTTTCGGAGGCGGTGCAGATGTCAGCGGAATAGGCGAAAAGGCGGCGGAAAAAAGCGTGCAAAGCTCTCTTATTTTTCTGGCACGATCGCCTTTGGGGATCAGCGACACGTGTGCAGCTGTGATGCGCGATTTCTGGAGCGCACGCCTCTCAAGGGGAGTCTTAAATGTCCTCCGCACCATCATGTAAGTGAAGGTGTATATAAAGCGCTTTTGCGGGAACTCGGCGGAACACCATTTATTATCCAATCCGGGATATTGGCGAAATTTAAAGTTTACTTGTTGCGGAAATAACACCGTTCGGTGCAATATAAACATTTTAGCGGAGTGGGAGGGGAGATGAAGCCTGCATGTGAAGATCTGGACTGCAGGACATCTTTGCGCTAATTGAACTGGTCGACGGTGGAAAACGCGTGGAAAAAAATATCCGAGTGGCCGGTTTTCTGACAATCTTCAATCGGTAGGCTATGGCAAATCAAAGTACTTTTGATAGTAGGATTATAGTGGAGAATTACATCCACCAAAAACTTTCGAATAGGGGAATCGACTGGGGAATGGACTTTGGCGAGGAGACGGAGCCGCCAGCGAACGGCTCCACGGACACGGCGCTCTCACGGCGACTCCAGACAGGTGCCGCCGCCGCCCCTATTCGCAGTCAGACGACGCAGTCGGACCCGCACGCCGCTCTTCACGCAGTCCTGCGGGAAGCTGGGGATCAGGTGGAAAGGCGCTACCGCCGGGACCTGGTGGAGATGTCGGCGCGGCTGCACTTGACACCCGACACGACGGAGAGCAAGTTCGCCGCGGTGATAGAGGAGCTGTTCAGGGACGGCACCAACTGGGGCCGGATAGTAGCCTTCTTCGAGTTCGGGGTAGCGGTGTGTGTCGAGAGCGTGAACCGGGAAATGACGTCCCAGGTGGACCACATTGCCAACTGGATGACGGAGTACCTGAACGGACCTCTGCACACCTGGATCCAGGAGAATGGGGGATGGGTACGTTTTATGCTGCAATCGTAAATTAAATGCCCATCGTGCGAGTGTGATGTTGGCGTAAACAAATCAACGTGGTTGAAATTCCCGATTGGAAAAACACATCGTTACAATAAATTTCTAACCAATCGGCCACGATCTTTTAGTCACACCTCTCCACAGCCGTGTAAAAGCCATAGTTGAAGTAGTGAAACAAGGTGTGCACCTATTTTTGGAAGAGCGTGTGTGTGTGTGTGTGTGTGTGTGTGTGTGTGAGAGAGAGATTTTTCCCATAGGAATAATGCAGAGAGAAATGTTTTGCAGTCAGAAGCTATAGTTTTGTCACCGTGTTTAACATTTTATGCACTAGTTTTCTGTCAGATAAACAGAAGTTCTGTAATTTCATTGTTTTTTTCATGAACAGATAAATTTCCTCCCCCTTACTTTGGAAACAGATCTGGATCTCCATATTGGAACGAAGCAGTCAGTTTCTTAATTTAATGTGTGACCTGATCTATCTTCCCCCTGAAGCCCAGTAAGATTAACCTTACCGAATGTTAATTCATACCCTGTCTCCTTCCTTTCAAAACTAAATTTTGCCCTCAGAGTGTAAATCTTTCCAGGATGTCAGTCTTTTGAATGGGTGTACAGTTCGCTTGCCAGATGGATGGGTGTGATCGCTATCCATGTCAGGTTTGGAAACCCCTAGTGGATTCCTGAAGTGGACCCCCCCCCCCCCTCCCGGGGACCAGACAGAATAAAGGCTTCAGCAGTACAGAAGCATCAAACAGGAGCCCCTAAACCATATGAAACACAGGTTTCCGGCCTCTTCTGTGTTTTCAGATTTATTGTTTTTTTATTTTTTATTTTAGATTTCAGGTAGGTGTTGGCTGTCATGATCTGCTGATTTTTTTTTTCTTCAAACTTTTTGTTTTCTCGTCAAATTCCACTTTTAGCTTTCGTTTCAGCCGTAAGTAAGGCTGTTCAATTAAATCTGTTTTCTAAAGCCCCCAGACCTCAGTCCCAGACACTTCCGCTGCACAGACCATGCTTTGTCAACCCTGATCAGTGGAAGTGTTTACCTCCAGTTAAAATGTGCATTTGCATAGTTTGGGGGCCTCCTGCTGGCTCCAAATGAACGCCACGGGGGGGTGTGCCCAGAAACAGCAAACCCACACCTAACTCTGATTGACAGGGTTATGCATCCGAGTGGTTTTCCTGGGACATTTGCGGCTGTCAGACCCGATGCCGCCTTTGTGTGGGCGCTGGAATGTCTTTGCTCTCTAGACCTTGTGGAAGCAGTTTGTTGAGAATTGCATGTCCTTGAATTATTTACCAGTCTCCTGTCTAGGGGCGATAAAACGATTTGAGCACAGTATTTAATTTCTCCTGCATGAAAACAAGATGATTTGCATTAAGGCTTCGGAGACGGCGTGTAATTCAGCCGAGAATGCCTCAGGTGACAAGTGTCTTTCATCGCCGCTGTGTCTAACGCTCTCAAACACAGATTCCTGTATCTCCGTACACTTAACGCTGCCAGGATTCGTCACTCAAGCCTTATTTAGCTTCTTTAGGGTGGAATCTATGGCCTTTATCAGACTGGCTCTTTTTAAGAGGTCTTGGATCGGGTTCCTTCATCGAATGGGATTTAGTTGTCGCGGAGACGGCTCGCGGCTGGAACTCCTTTTATCACCCACTTGTTCATTTAGGGCATCTCTTAATCTGACTGTTTAAGATGGTGGGGACACACTTCCTTTCAACATGCCCCTGATTAGACCCTATTTGATTAAACCTTTCACTTTTGTCACATGCACGTGTTTTCGAAAACCCTACATTTTACCTTTTTTGGTTAGACAGGGTAAGGTGTAGGCAGAGCGGTGGCTCTGAGGCTGGAGATATCTACTAGCAATCAGAAGGTTGTGGGTTCAAATCCCGTGAATGCTGGGAGTGATCCTACCCTTTTTGGGCCCTTGATTAAGGCTTTTAACCTGAAATTGCTTCATTATTCAGCCCTGTAAAGAGGCCCTTTAACTTACAGGGAAAATTTGGGGGTTGGTTGCAGGATTGACACGCCGTTCCACTCGAACTAGTGTGGTGCCGAGGTATCGCACGGCGGAACTTGAGTTCTCATCCCTGAGGTAGTTTCCTCGTGTGGTGGGGGCAGCAACTCACTGTGAGCGCATGCTCCTTACCTTACCTCTGTCATAGGGCAAGGCACTCATGGTAAAAACCACGTCAACGCAATGACATGGAGGGTGAAGTCCAGGCCGAATGCTCACTGTCATTTGACCTTAAGCCCGATGAGTTGATCCGGGATGAAATGGCTATAGAAAGGTCAAGGCTCTGTGTGGCCAGTGTGGGTCATTTGTGGGTGCCTCTCTGGCATTGTCGGCGTTGGCTCGCTATAAAGTCTGGGTCTTTAATAGAATGCCTGAAGTTTAGTTAGCTGTGATGGGAGTGGTGTGTGGCTCGGTGGCTTAGGATGCTGTGCCTACAAACGGAAGGTTATTGGTCCAAATCCCTTGATGGGCGGAGTCAGCCCCAATTGTTCCAAGGGCTGTCGGGCACTGCATTCTCCAAAAAAAAAAACAAATAAGAATGAAATAAATGTATGTTGATATGAATAGAAGTGCCTGCTAATGAAATAAAATGCAATTACTGTGAAAGCTGTTCTATTTTTTTATGAGTCTAAGATTTCACCTTTTTTATCATTTCATTTATTACCATTCTGTACACGGCACTGTAAGTACTCTCAAACTTATACAGCATATAGCAGTAGATACTGGCAACAAACTGTTACATTTACTTTGTTAATGACAAGGAGAAATTCATTAAAGCACTCACACCCCAGATGGGACTCGAACCCACAATCCCTGGCTTAGGAGGCCAGTGCCTTATCCATTAGGCCACTGGGGCTGCTCTGGGTTTTAGCAGGCATGCCCTGCTTTTCTGTGTGCAGAGCCCCTTCTCAGGTATCCTCAGTCAAGGCAAAGATTCTTTGAGGTGAAAAATTTGACTAAGAAATGATTGATTTTTATTACAACACACCCCCCCCCCTCCCCAGGTAATTTCCATAACCCCCCGTTAACTGAAATTATAGCATCGGTATACAAATCCCAAAAGCAGGTTTTCCCCCACCTGATTTGAATATCATGGGGGAATTCACATCCTCGTGTTGTTTTCAAACTTTACCATGGCGACACTGGATCTGCTGGAAATCGTGGAGTTTGTCGGCTTGTGCTGTTCATGTCTTTACTACCCAGAGCTGCTGATTTTGTTACAATGTTTGCTACAATGGAATCTAATGTAATGTGGGTGGTTGGGGTTATCAGGCATTATCCCATATTATCTGTGATGTATGTTTTTGGTCGTGGCTTCTGAGTGCTATAAATCTGTGTGTGTGTGTGTGTGTGTGGAGGGGGATTATGCATATATTACTGTATTGTGGGGATCAAATGTTGGCATTAGGGTTTTTCCCATAGAAGTGAATGGATGGTCCCCACAAAGATATGAGTACAATCCTGTGTGTGTGTGTATGTGTGTGTGTGTATGAGAGAGAACCTTTTGGGAGATGTCGGTCTAGTTTGGTGAGAGGCCGATCACTCTCCATGTTGATGGTCTTATTACCTGAATTAACGGCGTGTTCGGCGCGGCGTCGGGGGGGGGGGGCATCTGGCAGCAGCTCCGACCTGAGGACGAGCTCAGGCTGTGGTAATTCTGCTGGACGGCCCTGAGGGTCTTACTCAAATCATCCCGTGACACTGTTCCTGCACGCAACCTCCCCCTTCCCTTCCCTTTTTTTATGTCCTGTGGAAGAGGGGTCACGAGGGGAGGTGGTGACCAGTCAGTGGGGACGATGAGGCGTCAATATCCATGGGGGTGTCATCATTCATATTCACCCTCTTTTGCAAGTAACTAGGCAACAGCTGACCTCGGGTAACAGTTAAACCGCTGTGGGGATTTCTAAGCCTGATTTATCCCATCTCTTGCAGCCTTAGTGTGATAGTGGTATAATTATTATCTGATTGGACGTGAACTTGTTGTGTGTTTTGAACCTTCCTGGTGATGGCTGTCCTGCTCTCCAGGTAGTTCACCCAGGCGTTACCAGGGTAAGGTTCTTCCGTTCTTGTTCTCTTCCTGCGGTTTCACATCTCCTCCACCCTCCGTGGGCGGCTGGCCCAGTCTGCAAGCCTCCCCGTCTCCCGACTGCGGCTGAACTCTGACTCGGATCCGGCGTCTTCGCTCCGCTTTCCAAATCTTAGCAAGACATTACTCAACTCCTCGCAGACTCCGGTACTGAGGGCCACTTCGGGGGGGGGGGGATTTCCACATCCTGACCCACCGCTGGTAGTGTGTCCTGACTGCCTCGCTCCTTCACTGTCATCCCAGCGTTAAATTAGCATAAGGTTTTGCACTAGTTCAGGAAGTCAGCTTCTCTCTCTACCGTGATCTCAACATCTTCGTCACCTTAAAGTTTTTAGCGCCACATGATTCTGAGCCAGTCAACAGCTAAATAAGGGGATGGGGTGATATTGCTTCATAGTCCTAACCCTCCCCCACATTTTGTCCAGATGAACCATGTTTGCGGCCTGTTTTCCAATCCCTAACCCCCTCCCCGGTATAATAACACCGTTTATACATACTTTTTTAAGAAAAAAGTGAAATGACAGAGCCAGGGATTTCAACAGAATTTCTCATTTTTGCCCCCCACCCTTTTTTGGATATGCGTAGTGCCAGGCCTGCCTGTCACGCTGCTGTCCAGCCAGTGCTCTGCAGCGCCCCCTGTGGACGTGGCAGAGCAGGATGGGTGTGGGCCCCACTGTGCCGCGTGTAGGATTGAGTCTGGCGGATGTTTGTTCGTCATCACTAAAGTTAGAACGAAGTGGGCGGCTAATTAGCTTAATGGCTACGCTTAGGCGGGGATGGGGGTGAAGTATAATGTGGAAATTATTTTCTGTCAGTCCGCAACCGTTTTCCTGTTTTTGAAATTGCATGATGCTCAAAATAGGTATGTCTCTCGGCCT